CCTACAGAATTAAACAAGGTCCGACCTTAGTCTAACCTCCAAAACTAGTTAATTTGAATAAAAGTCAAACCAGATCAACGATTCAACATGCATGGTCAAAGTCAATGGTCAACATCACCATCAGTGGGCCCTCACGTCGTGACCAGTCCATGGTCACATTATGAGAAATGCACTCAGACTGGGTCCAACTCAGTTTCTATCCAATTCAGCCAAATTAGTTTCCTTCCAACTTAGCCAACTCAGTCTCGGTTCTTTCTTCCATCATGTCATGACCAGGAGAATGACACGTCGTGAGGACGAGGTTTTTCATGGCTTAATTAATGGGTTCAACTCTCAATCCATCAAGCCATCCCACAAATCCTTCCAAAAGGCTTTCAAATGCCTAGGGACACCTAAAGTTCGCTTTGTTTCTTCCAAACAAGCTCTTAATGGATATAAATCTCATACTTGGTCAAAAGTTAAGAAATATCACCAAAACTTACATGCATGGGTCCAAAACTCTCCAAACTTCTAGATCTTAAACAAATAATACTCAAGGGACCCTTAGAATCCATAAAATTGCTAACTATATAGAACCTACCAATCACGCTTGCTCAAACAAGAAGAAAATGGAACCAAAACCTAGATCTAGCAACCTAGGGAAATAAAGTTTGAGTCTTGGACACTTACAAAGGTCCAGCAATAGTATGAGATAATGATGATGATGATGATTCCTTGCAAGCTTCACTACTAGAACACCATCATCTTCTTCTTCTTCTTCTTCTTCTTCTTCTTCAAGTTATCAAGTGCACCAAAAGGCCAAAAATCACCAAGAGGGTTATGGTTTGGGTTTTCTAGGGCTTAAAAGTGAGGGAGGCTGAGGGTGAGCAAACCCTAGCCCCCTCATTCCTTTAATTACCCGAAAATTAGGGTTTTTGGTCTCCAGGCGGTTGCCACGTCGTGACCAATATATTGTCACGTCGTGACACCAAAACTGACCATCTCGCGAAACACGGCCACGTCAGGACGTGATGGTGCATCCCTCACGTCGTGACCCACGCAAATCATGCAAATTACATAGAATATAGTACCCCGAGGATTCATGTGTTAAACACATTCCTATTTGGAAGTAATTACATGATGAATAGAAACATTGAAAACATGAATTTTGTTGAGTCTCTGCAACAAATCCAATAAGAACTCAAAAACAAAACTCAAACAAGCCACAATTGACACAGAAGAAAACAATCTGAAGAATATCAACCAAGAGGAACATAACGAGACCATCACCAGTTCTAACTCACACTATGAGTCGGCTTTTGAACAGCTAAGACATGAAAGATACACCTCCACCATCAGTGAGACACAACTCACGACCCAATGCTATACCAAAACACCTAGAGAAATTTCACACCTACCCACCACCCTCTTTGGAACATTCAAAACTCATGAAGAAATCATCCACAAATCATCCTCTTTCAAATTTCAGTTCACAAAAGAAATTCTCTAAATCACATAGAGATTTCCTCACAACTATTACTTCTCATGACAAGCCTAAAAGTTTTTCACAAGCTTCTTTGAATCTAAAATTGAGAGAAGCTATGAGTAACGAGATACAAGCTCTTGAATAAAATGGAACGTGGATCTTAATTATCTACTTCCTGGAAAGAAGGAAACTAACTTAAAGTGGGTGTACAAAATAAACTACAAACTAGAAGGAGAAATTGAGAGATACAAGACTCATTTGGTACCGAAAGGATTCATGAAAATTGAAGGGATTGAATTTCTTGAGACTTTTGCACCTGTTGTAAAGCTCATCATTGTTCGGTGTGCTCTAGCTATCACATCCAAGAAAGAATCGAAGGCGCATCAGTTGGATGTTAATAACACCTTATTACATTCTTACATGGAGATCTAGGCAAAGAGGTATATATGAAGGTACCCAAAGGTTTCAACAAGAAACACAAAAACGAGTTTGTAAGTTACAAAATCAATTTATGGGTTGCAACATGCTTCTTGAAATTGGTACCAGAAATTCACTAAGGCTTTTATCGGTAATGGAATTCATCAATCCAAGGAAAATCATTCTATGTTTGAATTTCGAAAATCTTTTGTACATATACGTCGGTGATGTACTCTTGATGGGAAATGACAATGAAAAGATAAATGATGTCAAACATAATTTACAGTCACATTTTAGTATAAAAGACATTAGGGCTCTTAGATACTTTCTTAGCATTGAAGTACACTTTAGATATATTGGAAGATAGTGGTACTCAAGGTTGTAAGTAAAATTTGTGCTTACATAAAGACAATTATAGTCGTAATGGCGATGCGGCTTAATATTGACACTTAATTGGAAGATTACTTTATCTCATAGTGACGCATCCAGACATTGCTTTTACTGCAAAATCAAGTCAGACAATTCCTAATTAAGTCAACCAAAATGGTCACACATAAATGAAAATTTTCGCGTTCTTCGTTATCTCAAAGCTACTCTTGGACATGGATTGTCCTTACCTAGTTAAGCTATCCGTCCACCAGAAGATCATCTACCAATAAGTTCATTAGTTTGGGAGGAGCTCTAGTGTCTTGGCGGACAACGAAGCAAAAAAGTAGTGGCGATCGTTTGCTTGCAGAAGCTTATGCAAAATAAAGGGCTATGGCGGGTACTATTTGTGAAGTTTTGTGGCTTTGGTAGCTTTTACAAGACTTAGATGCATCACAAGTTTGCACGACTCCCTTGGTTTGTGATAACGAAGCAGCTCGTCATATAGCGGTTAATCCTGTGCCATGAAACAACAGAGTGCGTCGAGACGGGCTGCAATTTTGTTCGGGAACATGTGAATAGTGGCGATGTGGTACCTTGCCCAATTTGTACCGAGTTTCAATATGTAGATATAAAAGTTGGATGTTTGTGACTTTCACAATCCAACTTGAGAGAAAGTGTTGAGATAATTTAATTTATCGGCAAGTATTTATCCTATTTATCTTCGGTAGTATTTGTCCCAATCTCTAGCTATTAGTATTGGTTCCAAATTAGTCTCCAGTTATCTAGCTATAAATATAGCTTCATCGTAATCGTTTCTTTTAAGTTGAAATACAATTCAACATTCAAGATTATTAAGCTATATATAAATTTCAACATTTAAAAAAAATGATTGTAGTCAAATGCCAACAAAAATCTACCAATTGATAGAATATACCAAATAATAACGCCATACAAAAATTGTATCAATGGGTAGTACAGATTTGAAATGATAAACAAATGAAAAATGAACAGAACAAGGCAATGCAATTTAAAGCAAGCAGAAGTGAAGAGATGTAACTCGGCTTTGGGATGACAACCGTAACTACTTGCTGTAAATCTATGAATCTTGATGATCTTATTGATATGAGGAGCCCTCTATATATACAGCAGGAATAGGAGAGATTACAGGGATATACAAAGAGATATTCTAGGAAATTGCTAATCACAATCAATTTACAATAAATACAAATATATATGGAGATATGTTCTACTAATAGTCCCCCGCAGTCGAAACTGTAGCTGGTCGGATGGAGAGACTGGATCGGAAGCGAGTGAAAAGTTGACGAGGTAATCCCTTTGTGAAGATATCAGCATATTGGTAATCTGCCGGAACATGGAGAACTCGAAGAGAACCCATGCGAACTTTTTCTCGGACAAAGTGAATATCAATTTCAACATGTTTTGTGCGTTGGTGTTGCACTGGGTTTTGTGTGAGATAAACGGCTGAGAGATTGTCACAATAAATAATTATGGCTTGGCGTATTTGCGACCCCTTTGTATTCTGCCGCAGCACTAGAACGAGAGATTGTGGGTTGACGTTTAGATGACCAAGAGACCAGGTTATCACCGAGGAAGACACAGTAGCCAGAAGTGGAGCGTAAGTTTGGCAGATTTAGAAGGAGTGATGTGTAGACCGTGGTTGCCGGTTCCTTTGAGATACCGCAGAATGCGTTTGAGAAAATTGAAGTGTGGTTCACGTGGATTATGCATGAAGAGACACACTTGTTGGACAGCATATGCGATATCTGGTCGTGTGAAAGTGAGATATTGGAGAGCACCAGCTAAGTTGCGGTAGAGAGAGGGGTCGGACATTGGTTGGCCAGCAGTGAGGCTAAGCTTGGAGCCCGTGTCGGCAGGAGTGGTACTTGGTTTGCAGTTTTGCATGTTGGCACGTGTTAAGATGTCGTTGATGTATTGAGCTTGAGAGAGAAAGAGACCACCATTTTGATGTTGAACTTGGATGCGGAGGAAGTGATGAAGTTGGCCGAGGTCAGTCATAGCGAATTCTTTAGACAATAGGCCAATGAAACGCCGAAGAAGGGATTCACTTGAGGCAGTGAGGACGATGTCATCTACATACAGTAAAAGATATGTCATTTGGTGTCCATGCTTGTAGACAAAAAGGGAGCTGTCACTGGTGGTGCTTTTAAATCCACATGTTTGGATGAATGTTGCAAATCCTTGCCACCTGATTGGGAGATTCTAAACCGACTCCTTATTTATCGCAGTTGATTTCAGATTCTGATTTAATCCAGATTTGGCACCAAAAATTCTTTGCCACTCATTATGTAGACCTAAATTACTGATGATACATACATTATACATACTGATAGAGCCCAACAACAAATTGTATGCCCCCTTGGCCTTAATGTCCTGGGCCAGTGCCCAGTCTTCCCTGTGCTTGGGCATGACTTTCTATATCAGGCAAAAGATCTAACAGAACGGGTGATCTTTCGTTACCAAAAATACTAGAACCATCTATGGCACTCATCAAGTCATTGACAAGACGGCGCTGCAGGATCACAAAAGCAATAATTGGTAGGCATGTCAACACAATTATTGATATAAGAATATATTTGTTGCCTTGGCCAAATACAAGGTACAACGTAGCACCAAAAGCTATGACCATTGCTGCTGTTGAGATAACCAAGGTGGCCAATGCAATTATTAACTTTGTAGGCACCTTGAAGAGAAAGTCTTCTTCAGCAAATCATGCAGTGAGAATCGACAAAAACATGAACAATGAAATAAGAGATGCGACTAATGATATGGCATCTGATACTGCAAATACTATGAAAGCAGTCTTGTTAGTAAAATTTGGTATCCCCATGTTATCATTTCCTCCTGGCACTGTAATAGCAGCTGCAAATACAACGGTGGTGATCAATGCAGCTGTGATAGTGTACGAATGAGCAGTGGCCTTCATCCATTTTTCTCCCTCAATCACTAACTCCTTGTGCTCTCTTGTAAATACCATTTGAGGTGTTTCGTTGAAGGAGTTCTTCTGTTTGATGTTTAGTGGACATACAAACCCTTCAACTTCCTACATGATTACAATATGTTAGCCACTTTGGTCATAAAAACAAAAGGATTAATTCTATCAGATATATCTGTCTCTACCTTGAACCACTTTAGTTCCCTTTGTATCTGTAAAGCTGCCCCGGATATAAAATTTAATTTGTTGTCAGGTGCCAATCTTGCAGCCAAATGCAACAGATTATTGCCAGAAGAGTCTTTAATATTTCTGTACATATTCTTGTGTTCGCTCTTCTTATGTAGTAGTTTGTAAACCTTTATTGAACGATTTATCACAGCATATTGAAGAATGTTGTGACCATCTTCGTTGGTACTCCAAATTGCATTTGGGAAGAAAGACACAATATCTTGTACAACTTTGCATGCATTTTGTCTAGTGGCTTCAAGAATAGGATTTGTGTAATAGTGATGGTAAGAGCTGGGGTCATTGGAATTTTTTATCAATCTAGATACGGTCTTTGATAGTTCCTCAGCAGCACAATGGTTTCGAACTCTCTCTTTGATTATTATCCACCCTGTAACATATATCAAATTGAGCTTTTCAAACAAATAATGAAATATACCCCTATTTCTGGTTAAAAGGATGGTGATGGTTGATTCACCTTACCTAATATCTTAAGGGTCATCAAGTAAAGTATAACAAAGCCAATCATCCCTGCATCAAGCAATAGAAAGTTTGGAAAGAATAGTGGGGTAAACAAAATGGAACAAAACAAATTATAAACTCATGACATACGGGGATAGGCTAGACAGAATATTATTGCCATCAGCCGGACAACCCATGATAGAATAGATCTGGGAACCATATAATTTAGCATTCCTTTTACCGTTATACTTCGTACATCGAACGCTTCAATGTAGAAAATTGAACAATTTGGTTAGAGAAGCCTTATAATAAAATGAGAAGTTGAGAAAATTATTAGATTCAAGATAAAAATATATAATAAAACCTATATATTTTTCCACTTTATTGAGTTCGGGTGGGAAATTTTGAGCTATCGCTGTCAGCACAGCATCACTATGAAAGATTTTGTAACTCTTCACCAAATCATTTGCCAAGCCTACATATACTCCAAAGTTAACTATATCAAGTAACTAAAGTGGTTAGTCTTTTTACTAGTGGAAGTTGAATCAATAGACACTTACGAAAATCTTTAGAAGAAATAACTGTAACAAGAAGCTCATCACCAGTTGTGCCAGAAAACAGAGCATCCTTCTGTATATCATCAGTATTATTGATGTGCTCCAAAAGATGTCGGGCTGTCTGGGTATTCATATTAGAAAGAGCTAAGGCAAGTGGTGTCCGACCCTCACTGTCCTTGGCCAGCAGCAAATCTGAGTTTCTTTCCACCAAGATGTCTACAGCTTCATTGTTGCCAACAATGGCAGCAACATGAAGCAGTGTGCTTCCATCTGAATTTTGCATATCCAATAGTTGTGTGTTAATATTTGGTGTCACTTCCAACAATCTCTCTAAGAATTCGGGTTTGTTGGTACCACCCACTGCTACATAGAGTGCTGTGTTGCCATTTTTGGTGATTTTGTCTGTCACTGTAATTACTCCACCACTCAAAATGCGATCAACCCGACCCCAATCTGTTGATAGAGTAGCCTCGTATAACTCGTGGTGAATCTCTGCCCTTCTTTGTTCTTCTTGTTGCTTATATAAATCTGCATTTTGTTGTCAACATAAAAATAAATAGAAAACAAAAAACTACAAGATAGAAACTGAGTTTCTAATCCAATCACAAGGAATTTCGAAGGAGAAACAATGAGAGGTGTAAACTGTAAGGGGATAATTCAGAATATGGGTATTTTAGGAATAAGAGTATTTTTGGAAACTTTCCATATTTCTCACTAATTGTGTTGGATTAGGATTCTTTGTTTAGTAGAAATAGTGCATTACTTTTTATGTTTCATTTCATTTTTTCCTTTGATTCCTTGCCTTTTCTTCCCCTGTTGCATTGTTCTTCCTGTCACACACTTAAACCTTGTGCATCAAGGTAATTGCAGGTTTTTTTTATTACATTCTCTATTACATATTCTATCATTCAGGTAACAAAATATTACCCTTTGGAGGTATATAAGTTCCATATGTTGAACAAAACTAACTAATGTTGGCAGTTTATATAAATCATCAAGATAGATTAGCAAACAAGAGATTCTACCTACAACAACCAATTGTGGAAGTAGTTGTGGAAGGATAGTAGGAGCATAGATAATCTGCAGTTCATCCCATAAATCTTTTGCACTAAAATCATCTGCATTTGTCTCTTGATGGAGTTTGTCTGTGAGACGTTTCAGAACATTAGCGAGTGTTTCTTTAGAGAGAGAACCAAGAATCCAACCTTTTACAAGGGCATCTGATCTTGTCCACAGCCAGTGATTGTGATCATCGCCACCTAGTTTCTCCTTCCCAGAAACACTAGTACTGCTGGTTTGAGGGCTTATGGTCAGTGTCCCATCGATGAAACCAAACATGCCATGACTCTTTAGGAGACATAGCATCTGTGTTTTCCACATAATATACTCATCCCTGCCACTTAGTTTCACACTTATAAAGCTTGTTGCAGAAAGATTTGAAGGGTATGGGTATGTGTACGGGTATTCCTCTCCAGCTTCCACTGCCACATTTTCATTAGAGCTTGAGCTTGCCATCTTTGTATCTTTCGTTTTTCTTTCTGTCAACCCTTCTTCCATCCTCTAACGTATTTAATCTACAAAGATGCAGTTGAATTATTATGCGGACAAAAGCCACGTTCAGGTAATTTCTTGTTAATTCATGACGAAATGTCAAAGTTATCATCCCTACCTAATCCTCACTTATGATATAACATTTAGTGATTATCATATTAGTAGACTTAATTCATATAATCCCCACCTACAATGTTACGTTTAGTTTCACCTTCTATTCTTAATCCATTTAACTAGTATAAATCAATCTCGATAAAGATAACATGAAAGGGAGTCACAAAGCGTCAACCGTCTTTGTCGGTCTTTTTTGTTTTATTTTATTTATTTACTATTTAAATTTGGGACACAAACATGTGATTTGTTAAACAAATAAATCAACTACTAGAAAAGGGCACTTGTTCCTAACGAATTTTCCTAGAAAAAACATTTCCGCAGAAGATACTCACATTTGCGAGGGAGTTCCTAGGGAATTGAATAACTACAATTTCTCAGAAATCCCTCGGAAGTTCCGAAAGAATTCTTAGCAAATATAAAAAATTAAGTTTGAAATATCGTTCCATGAAAAACCCTCGGAATTCTGAGGGAATTTCTTGGAAAATATGAAAAATTAAGTTTGAAATACATTTCCTCGTAAATCACTCGAAGTTCAGAGGAAATTTTAGCAAATATGAAAAATTAAGTCTGACTTATAATTACACCTAAGAAATTCCTCGAAATTTACTAAATATTTCCTAGGGAATTCCTAGAGAATAACTTATTTTAGTTTTCTCAAATACAAATGTTGTTTTTTTTTTCATTTGATATTTTGTGTAACTTTATTATAGATTAAATATATTGATCTCACTAACTTTTATATATATATATATATATATATATATATATATATATATATATATATATATATATATATATTTCACATACATACATATACGTATACCATTGAAACTCATTACATACGACATTATTTTGTTAATCTAGCTATAGATACATATCTATATTAGTGTTATAAAAATCCCGACTAAATCACGATTAATCTTCGATTAGTCCATAGGCGCTACCCAACCGATTAGAAAGCGCCTAGCGATTAATCTTTTCTTACACAATGAGCGAAACAGTAGAAAATAATGAAATTTAAACTCTTTGAATATGTTCTACCTCAACACAAAAAATTTGAGGAATGATTAGTGTTGTATTAACCATATTAACTTATTTTGTTATGATATTAATGGTATTTATGAACTTTGTTATGATATTAGTGATATTTAATTTTCTAAAATCCAACGTATTAACAATTTTGTGTCCCCAATTAATCATCCGGTTAATCATCACCTAACCAATTAATATAACCCTAGTCCACCAACTAGCTAACGTCGAGTTTTTTTTACATCCTTGATCTGTATATAGATGTATGTTTTGTGTACACTTACTTACGTTCACATACCATTGAAACCAATTACTCAAAACATTATTTTATTAATATATATTATGGTTAAATAGACGTATGTGTTTGTGTATACACATAGACACATACATGTATACATACACACATACACATACACATGTTTATATAATGTGTAAGTTGGTGAAATTACATTCATTAATGTATAATAAGAATTTACAAAATATGGAAAGAAAAAAAAATATTGTTTGAATCTTGAAAAACTAAAAACAAAATTTGGTCGTTAGAAATCCCTAGAAAATGTGTAGGTTCCGAGGAATTTCCTACGGACATCAAAATCTGTCACTAATCCGTAGAAAATGTGTAGAAAATTCTGAGGGATTTCCTAGGGGAAAAAATTGTTTTTCATTTTATGTTGTTTTAGACTTTGGTTTTTTCATTCCATATTTTGTAAAACTTCATTAGAAATAAAAATACTTTTATACTACTAATTTGTACATATTATATACATACGTATACTTACTTTCAACTAAGGTCATTATGAATTTTGTATACCAGTTTCGTGAGGCTTGCTTCAAACCGTATAATGACTTCTTTAACTTGCACACTTCTGTCTCTTCCTTCTTACAAAAGCCTTGAGGTATCTTCATGTATACATCTTCATCTAGCTCGCCATGTAAGAATGTGTTGTTATTCACATCTAACTGGTGTATTATCCATCCTTTCTTCACAACCACAGTGAGTAAGCTTCGAACGGCCACAATGAGTAAGCTCCTGACAAGATTAGCTACTTGTACAAATGTTTCATGATAATCAATACCTTCTAGTTGGGTAAAGCCTTTAGCAACTAGTCTCACATTGTGATGTTCAACTATATATTTGACTTTATAGACCCATTTAGAGCATATATCTCATTTTCTTTCTAGAAGATCCTCGAGACTCTCTCCTCAAGGGACTAGATTTCTTTCTTCATTGCTTGTCTCCACCTTTTATCATAGACAAATTAACTGTTGATCGGAGATAGGTCATGCTTGGTCGACGGATGGGGGAAGTCGGACATCATAGTAAGAAAGGTGTCTTTGCTTTATCCTACTTCTTTTCTCCTTAATTGGTTCATTAATTTTTACAGCTTCATTCAAATCTTCATTTTCAACCACATTAGTTTCATCTTGGCCCATAGGAGGACAATCCTTATTAACATTGTTATTTACCTAAGTCAATGAAAGAAATTTTCAATTAAGATTTCATTTTCTTCATTTTGGGTCATTTTGAAAGGTTCTTGGAAAAGATCTAGTATGCTCAAGAATCATATTAAAGTGATATTGCTAATTAACATATGATACTAATAGGACACACTAATAACAACTTGATAGAATTGATTATTTATTAGAAAATGGTTTTAATAGATATTCAATAAACTTTTATAATTAATTGGAAATTATTTATTTGATGGAAATAATAGTTTTCATTAGCAAGTAACATTACATAATTCATATAGTATGAATTAATAATTCATGCACAACATTTTGGACTAGATAAATTCTTTTGACTTTTACCAAAAATTGGAGTTTATATTTTATAAACTTGGTTTATAAAAACTTAAATTCATGTCTTCTTTTTTTTTAATATATGGCCGAAAAATTAAAAAAAGAAAAAGTGAATGGTCTTTATATTAGTTTAATCAAAAGTAAGGGGTTTCTTGCAAGCATGGGAGACATCATTTCTTAGGAGCATGGGTTGTCTTAAAGTTTTAAGACTAAAGAGTAAAGATTAACCTTTATGAGGCTTTCACTCTTCATTCCCTCTCTAATGTACCAAAATCGTAACATGCTTATGTTAGACATTCTCTCTCACTTTTTGGTTCATCTCTTGAAGAACACTTGCATTATTTTTCTCTCTTGAAGTTGATATTGGTTAAGAACTTCAAGCTTAAGAGTTAAGAGTTTATGGACTAGCATCTACATGAAGTTGAGTTCTTGTTGGTGTCTCAAAAGTTCTACATTCTCCATCAACTTCTAAGCCTCCCGAGATGACTTAAAGAACTACAAAGGTTGTTATTTATTCATCCACTATTTGGTTGGTGATTTAATCTTTCTATAACTTGCAATATGATCCTTGGTGGGTGCAAATTAGCTTATGTTATTTTCGAAAAATCAAGTCTTCCATTTGTCAAATTTCTAATTTATGAGACTATTTTTGAGATAAACCCCAACAACTGGTATCAGAGTCACCTTGCAAATTTGGTTAGATTTTATAATTTTTGGAAATCTTAGTTTTTGGAGAACAATGATAACTTGTTTTTGTATAAAAGTAATTGTGTACATATTTTCTTTGACAACTTTATAATGGTTACTTTTTGTGACAAAAACTTAAATGCATTTTTTGTCACTTAAAGGTGTCTTAGAAAAACAAAGGTTGTTTTACGTTTATATGTATTTTAGAGTGCATAAACAAGCTCTGGACCATTTGTGTTATTATTTGTGTGATTTGGTTGAAAATGGTTTGCAATATTTTTTTATTCATAATGTATGTAATAAAAGTAGCTAGTTTTTATTCTTGTTATTTTTATGTGATATATTAGTTTTAGACTATAGTTATTTTCTAAAAAATGTTACAAGATGAAGATGGAGACCATTTTTGAAGATATCAAGAGGAGGCCACGATTTTATAAAGATTTATAAAAGTGCATAACTTTCATAATCTTTGTATAAACTGCAGCAAAGTTGGTTCTCATTACAAGTGGGAGCTCGAAGATCACATAAAGAACAAGTTGTAATATTTGGTCCTTTTGTCTCATAGGAAGGACTTAACACTTTTGTGTTGGCTCACAAAAGTGTTAACTAGATCAATGCTTGTTTATGTTGAATGCATGCCTGTGTTGTTTATTTTTCTAGTAAATATTCTGTGTGGTTTATAATTTAGTTTTTCACAAACTCGCTATTTTTTGGATAAAATAAACATCACATGGAGTTTGGTTTTCAATTTACAAATTGAGAACATAAGATGTTACACGTTATAACTTTAAAATAACAATCGGTTTTATTAAAACGTTAATAACGGAAAATTTTGAATTTGTAAAATTAAAAGTCTAAAATGGTGATTTTATAACTTATTCAAACTCCAAAATATTAATAATAAAAGGAAGTTTTATAAAGTAATAAATAATGTTCTATATGGCTCAAAGTCAAACTTAATATTGGATATTATCGTTAAAATTGAACCGCGTTAAAATATAAAACCAGATTTTATATTTGAACCGTAAATGTGACTTATTGGAAAACTGATACCATGATTAATTGGATGCATGCAATTATCATGATATCATATGTTTTTAAAACTAGAATTATAACACATATAAAATACCCTTTCAAACCTCAAATCTATGCAATCTTTTTTTTAAGAGCAGTCGCACATCTCTTGTATGCACTAGTGGGATAAATGATACCTAACCACAATTTTCATAACCAAGTTATAGGCCGATTACACATGTTATTCAAATTGGATGATTTGATCAGAAATCTTTGTGATAGAGGATACATAAGCAAAAGAAATTCGAGACATAGTTGAGATCAAACATGTCTAAATAAATTTGTTATTAGCGATCTCA